AAGATCCTATGCTTGAAACCCATCTCCTAAATCTCTCGGTCCATGTGGTGTTTTCCATTGCCTAATGTCAAAGTACTCAGAGAATAGTCTCCTTAGAGACTCACGTTCTCCTCACCACAGAGCAGACCAAATAGCACAGGTGGACTAGGATAGCACTGGAAAAAGCACTTGTCCCGTCTCCCATCTATGCAAAAATTCATCCCTTCTTTTTCTCTCCTTGTTACCTAGCCCTAATCCTCACAATAAAGAAAAGGCAGCTGGAACAAAGTACCCCACACAGTGAGGAATGCAAGATAAGCAAACTGGCAGAAGATAAAATCTACTTTACATGGCTACTTCCAATAATTGGAAACCTCATGTACCACCAGCACCCAGGGATTATTTAAGTCTTATTCATTGTTCAAGTCTCAGTTTAAACTTCACTTCTTACTCTTGTCTTCTCTTATCTCATCTCTTCTCTCTTATCTCTCTCTGTCTCTGTGTTTGTCTGTCTGTCTGGATGGATAGATAGATAGACAAATGAGTTAGACATAGATAGATAGAGATATTTAGATTCAGATCCTCAATGCCTTGTTGCTGCTTTACCTAATTTTCCCCCTAGACGGCAAACTCCAAACAAGCAGCACTCATTTTCAGTCTGCTTCTCTCTCTGGGGTGGTAAAACACAAAGGTGACCTGCTTATAAGCAGCGTTTTTAGGTGGAATGTTTTTAGACGGGGTACACATCTCCATTCTTCACAGTGCAATTATAGCACTAAGAATACTTCATCTGTTGACAGGTCTGGCCTCAAGCAGAATTGGAATTGCAAGGCACACAGCATCCCAGGCCAGAGTAGGCCTCAGTGAATATTTATGAGAGCACTGGAGGGCTGAGTCTTCTTGTTTCAGGCTGGTTAAGGCACAAAAGGAGCTGAGAGCCTGTGTTTCTTTACTTGGCTGCTTCTCTCTAACCATGGACCAGAGGACTTCTTTTCATCTTCAGGTGTCCTGTGATGCTTGGTAAACTTCATTGCATCCCAAGGAGACTGTCACCCTCTGGAAGACAGGATCTGGTCTCTCTTCCTTCTTCTCTTTCTCTCTTTCTCTTGCCCAACTCTCCCTTCCCCCCTCCCCCAAAATTCCACCACTTATGATCATTTAATTAGACTACAGTCTGCTCAGAAAGTCTGCTCATAAGGATCCTAATCTTTCAGGCAGGAGGCCTCTGTTCCTGGAAAATCAAGTCTTGCAGGAAGCAGAGAAGTACACAATTTTAGGGAGGGGAAAGTCCAGAGCCCAGGAGATTGGGATAGGAGTTTGGGAGGGTAGGCTGTGACCTGATCATATAGGGGCCTCCAAGTTATGCTGGAGTGTGATCCTTTCCAAGTCACTGGGGTGTGACATGATCATGAGCATTTGCATTTCCTACTCTTCCCTTTCCCCCATCACACAAAGCAGTGTCCAGTGTCACACACTGGGCCTGAACAACAGGCTCTCCTAATTGGATGGTGTGGGTGACCAGTGTCTGAGAGGGGCTGGGCAGAGCTGCAGACACCCCCTCTTCACCCACCTCCCCACCCTCTGTGCTGAAACATGCACTCCAATTTAAGCTAGTTGGACTAGATCGGGTGGAGACAGGAGGGCTCAGAGGATTAGGACATCAACCCCAGCCTTGAAGGAAGCACATTCCATAGTTAAGCAAACAGGGTGTGGTGAATGTAGGCCCAGCCCAGCCCTTTCACAGAGGGGTGAGAACAGGACTTGTGTCCTAAGAGCAGGCTGTCTGTCCATCCAGGACTGGCACTCCTGCCCAGCTGTGCCTTCTGGGAGACCTGCACAGCACCTCCTCTCTGTCCAAGTGCCCTCACTAGCTTCCACTTGCCATCTGCAGGTGACTCATCTTACCAGCACTATCTCTGCCGGAGACAGGGGTGTGTAGAGAGAGGTAACGAGGAGGTCCACCTGGACGGGGAAGATGGCTCCTGTTAGGTCACAGAAGACACATAGCAAAACCAACAAGATAACCAATCTCAAGAAAATTTAAAGTGAAAGTTTGATTGCCTCCAGCGTACATACACCTGGGTCCTGAGTCCAGGCGTAGCTGCCAGCCAGGGTTGTTTAGGATTATACACAGAGCTCTGGGTTTAGGAGATGTAGCTAAGTGTGATTGGGCAGAAAGAGACAAAGCAGGGTTGCCTGATACATTGAGCTAGGTTCTGTTTTCCTAAGTTAAGTTTCTATTTCTCTAAAATGGCATCACCTGGTCAAGTCTGAATTAAAGTCTACTTTCCTAAGTTAGGCTTTTATCCCTGAGAAATGACATGGCTGTCTGCCTGGAGGGGGTACTGCCTTCTCCCCTCTCAGCCCTAACCCAGGCTCCAGGTCTGCCCTCTAAGAATAGGGCTCCTAGAATCATCTGCTTTATTGCTCAGGGCGGAGGACAGCCTTGGAGCCAGTGCTGTAGGCCTCCAAAACATCTGTAGAAGAACCTGGCCTCATGGAAAGTAGCCCCAACTATGAACTTTATTTGCAATGGAAATATATTTTCTGTGTATAATTGCATCAAATTATTTTGAAGTTTTTTGTATCCTATCTTTTAACTTACCATGAGCTCATCCCTATTTCTTTAATAATCCTCAAATAATCTAATTTTAATGGCTTGATTAATCTAATAATATCTCATACGGTTGAAGATAAAACCAAAGATAGAAACTTAGGGTGAAGGATCCCAAGTGTTCACTTTTACAAAGGAGGGACATGCACTGCTCCATACGAGAGGGAGCAACTTCACCATTTCCTGCCTTGTCCTTGAGGACCCAACTCATCTCCACTGAAAGTCTTTCGGGAAACCCACCGGGGACTGAGCCATCTGTGGTGCCCCATGGCACTTGTCACAGCACTTGCCACATTAACTTATACAGATGTCTTCATGTTTCCGTCTCCTGTCAGACCCTAAGGCCTTGAAGAGACAAGGCTTGGTCTGTGTGAGCTGTCAATCTCTAGCGTCCTGCTGACCCCTAACAATAGAAAGTACTCCACCAAGGCTCTGAAAAGAAGCCATCTAAGCCATCCCTCTTGCCAGGAATGGATAATCTTTCTACTTTGTAAAGAAAATCTTCGTGCTCTCTTTTTCAGATTCTATGTTGGATGAGGAAGAGGAGACAAAAAAAAAAAAAAAATCTCATTTAGGTCATTGTAGTCATTTGAATGCTTCTGTAAATAATGTCAAGTTGACTTGTACATAAACCTTTGTCTGCATCTGACTCGTATGTCACATGTGCAGATGCTAGAATCAGACAAACCCTAGCTCCATGGTTTGCTACTTGTATGGTCTTGGGCACGTCAAGTCTTTGGCTCTTCTTTTCTTCTATGTAAAAAGGAGATGACAATGGGCTTACTCTAAAGGAGAGAAAGGAAGTGATAGAGGTCAGGTGTCAGTGCAACTCTTGACACATTGGTTTTATTACTGTGTGGAATTACTGTGTCCACGTTATAGTTCTTAATACCACATGACCAAACTGCTATCTGGAAACATGCAGTGAGCTGTGTACATGCTAAGAGTCTATAGCACCTTTCCACATGGCACTGGCAGAGTTGGGTCAATTTTATTTGTGCAATACTGGGATTCAAAGCCAGAGGCACTCTACCACTGAGCTATACACTTCCAGCCCTTTTTATTTTGTGAGACAAGGTCTTACTAAGTTTTCCAGGCTGGCTTCAAATTTGAGATCCTCCTGTCTCAACCTCCAGAGTAGCTGGGATTACAGACATGTACTACTGCACCCAGCAATTTGAGCCAGTTTTTCGTTTTTGCCCAGTCTACTTCACAAAGGTTATCTGGACCCCAGTCAAACTTATCTTGAGGTTCAGCACACAGTCCAAGGATTCTGCACAAATTCTACCTCATAGTCACCCCTCTCCTTGTGTCAGAGGAAGAGGCACAAGTTAGGAGTGAAATGAATGGGCAGCATTAAAAGGCAAAGATGCCTTAATATATAAGTTCAGAAGCTATTATTCCACATATAACCAAATGATGAAACTGAAGACTTAGTGGTGAAGATTAGCCCCAAACAAGATTCTTCCTCCTTCTATCCTCAACTCTACCCAGCACAAAATCATGAGAAGTGAAAGCACAAAGGCTCCTTTGTGACTGGTTTGTGACTTTGAGTGGCTTGGACAAGGTCACCCACTTGACAAGTGCCATTAAGAGTACCAGAGCCAGGGCCGGGGATTTAGCTCAGTGGTTCCGCCGCCTGCCTAGCAAGCGCAAGGTCCTGAGTTTGATCCCTGGTATTGGGGTGGGGGTGGGGGTTCCAGAGCCTGAGGCCAGGCATGTGGCACATACCTATAATCCCAACACTGGGGAGGCTGAGGCAGGAGGATCACCATGAGTTTGAGGCCAGGCCTGAGCTACCTGAACTACACAGGAAGACCATCTCAGAAATCAAAACAAACCAAAAAGGAGAGTGCCAGAGCCACAAGGAATCCACAACTCACAGCCAGTAAATCTTATCTACAGCTCCATTCATGTTTGTCCTCCCAGTCCCTTCCACAATCTTGCCAGGAATGTGAGGGTGGAAGTGGCCGGGAGCAGGAGACAGCACAAACTCATGAGTGGCTCTGAAAGCCACACCCACAGCCTGTGGGAAAGTCAACTGTGAGGAAATACAGGTGCATCTGGGCAGGCCCCATGAAGCAACATCTTTCACTGGCCTCTTGGGGTCGTTAGGGGACTGAGCACCCTCAGAAAGGCTTCTCTCCAATGGCCTCTCTCTGCAGCATCTCCATCTCTCTCCATAGTTATTTCCTAAAAATAAAAACTCCCAGGCAATAGCCCAGTTACTTGGATATCTGCTTTAATTAAAAAGAAAAGGGGCCAGGCGCAATGGTGCATACTCATAATCCCAGCTACTTGGGAGGCTGAGGTGGGAGAATCATGAGTTAGAGGCCAGTCTGGGCAGTGAGACCACATCTCAAGAAAGGCCAGAGCGGGGACAAGTTTACCAAGGACCACAGCAAACTGGAAGCAATCATTATAACAGTTTTATTCAAGTCTCTGTGTGCACTGGTGTGGAGACCAGGCTGAGATCAGCATTGCACTGTAATACAATGAGAGGTTTAGCCAATGAACCAAGCCTGCTTGGCATCCCTAGTTAACAATTTACAGTACCTCAAAAAAAAAAAACAAAAAAGGAGAGAGAAGGAGGGAGGGAAGCAGGAAGAAGGAAGTAGGAAAGAAGGAAGGGAGGGAGGAAAAAAGAAAAACAAAAGAAAAAAGAAATGAAAGAAAGGAAGGATGGACAGACGGACGAGCAAGCCAAAGGAAAGAACCTGGTACGTTTCCTTCAGGACTTTTCCATCTTTAAATATTGTTGACAAGATACAATAACTTAAATATCTAAGCAAGAGGGGAATTCAAGGACAGAGGATCAAGACAGACACACAGATAAAACACTGATGGAGAGGTCTAGGGATAAAAACTAGAAGCTAATTACAGAGAGACAAAAACAAATAGTTATGTGAACTTTCTTCTCACTTAGGTACCTAGACTCCAAGGCCCTAAGGGGAAGGAAAATCCCAAAGAAAGCTTTTCTGCAAACTAAGTAAAACCCAACTCCAACTCCTTTCTGTAAAATCCTCTAAAATATAGTCTTAGACTCTATGTCTGAGTGTGGATGTGTGTGGTGGGTGAATGTGCTGCGTAGGTAAGGAGAGAAAGCAGAGAATGTTAATGAGTTCGTCACTTCCTGCTTTGCTACAGCTAAGTACCAAGGGCATGTGGCTCAGTGTGACAAAAAGACATCAGCCTGATTTCAAGTTCCCAAGGAGCAGACACAAGCTACAATAAGGCTTCCAAGCTCAAGAGACTGGGATAAAAAGTCAGCCGAAGCTGTAACCAGAAGTAATAACAAGGCAAACGTGGGCTGGAAACAGGAGGCCCACAGCCTTCAGGGCTGCTGGGAAACAAGCTACAGAATGGACACATTTGGCCCAGTGTAGTCTGAATCCCTGAAGAATCATGGAGAAGAAATGGAGGAGCAAGCAGCCAGCAGTAGAGAGGAAGTCGCTGAGCTCTGAGGAGGTTGCGAATCCAGTCACACAGGCAGATAGTGGGACACACGGACCTCTCTGGGGAAAGGGTGATCTCAGAGCCTTTGTGGGCCTGGTGGCCAAGCTCATCTCAGGTCTCCTCAAAAGTGGCCTATGAAAGGGATGACGCTGGAACCAACCAGATCTGCAACTTGCTTCCCAGCTGTGTGACTCTAGGCACGTTATATAATCATCTGAACCTCACTTTACATATCCAATGTCACAATTACTATAAGGAGTAAAAAAATACATGTACATAAATCCCTGGGACAGTGCCTTCCCTGTGGCAAAAATGTACTGGTTTCTTACCATTTATCATTAGCCCCATATCTAGGCCAAGATAAATCCATGCCTTGCCTGACAATGGCAAAGGAAAGAGCCATAGCTGGCATGGCTTCTGGAACTGGAGGTAGAATAGATGACAAGAGTAAAATAAAGACAACAATGGTAGTGAAGATGATGCTGGTGGGAGTGTGACGGGCAACGTTTGGAAGGCTGTGTAGGCACAGTGTTAGGGATCACAGCTCTTGCTGAGAGAGGGAATAAAAAAGCTTCCATTCACTTCTCACCCTTCTGAGACCTGGGAGAATCAATGAGGCTTCTTATTCACTCCCAAAATTCAAGATGTTCCAAAGAGGTTTGAGATGAGAAGCTACAGGATCCCTCTAAAGTAATCCTGTTCCTTCTCCCTAGAACTCACACACACCAATAAAGGAGCCTCAGGGCTCCAGAGAGCCTGAAGGATCTCCAGGAAACATCAAAGAGCGGTCAAAGGGTATCAGGCCCAAAGTTAAATGCAAACACACCTAGAAAGCTCCCGGCCTCACTCATGACCTGAGGGGAAGGGAACTAGAAAATAACCTATTTCACAATGGGACCTAAAACCTGTTCAGCTCACAGGTCTAGGGGATAGGATAGGACCAGGGTGAGGGGAGTGAGGCACTCTTGGATGCAAAATTTAAGGGGTATCAGAAAACTCAGTAATCAAAATATAAATCCTATTTCAATGTAATATTCTAAAAAAAATCAAAATTAATGGAAAAATACCCATGATGAATACAGTACCAAAACTTTACTAAGTCAGGCTCTGTCCAAGCAGGTGTCTGGGTAAGTACTTCAGGAATATAGATAACATATTTCTGGAACCGGCCTTGGACTTCAGTGAGAGCCGAGCAAGTCACACCATGTCCACGGTGGGGCCCTCATTTACCAGAGTTCAGGATTCTGGGATATCCACTCTGCCCGTCCAGTAGGAAAGGCTGTACTCCAGTATTTCAGCCTGAGACTCCCATGTAGTTGTCATGCCCATGCCTGGCAATCAGCCTAGTAAAACTAGGTGGTGGGTATTGCAAGGGGGCGGGTCAGACCAGCCAGTGTGAAGACAGGTCAAGGGGAAGGTGGGTCTGTTTCCACAGGAAACAGAAAGGTGTGGAAAACCTCTCGGCTCTGGCAACCAGCTAGGCCCAGAGCCTCTTCTCTCCAGCTTGAACCCCAAAGCAGGCTCCCCACTGTAGGGAACCAGAGGCAGTAAGAATCGGGAAAGACTAGGCTTAAGCTTGGGGAGAGAACTCAATTTTCTGAAAAGGCAATGCCAGAGCTCCCAGAACTGCCTAAGGAGGCTGGGAGGCTTCTAGTACCCACACCTGGAAATGCAAGGCGGGGGTAGGGGCCTGGGAGATAGTGATCTCACCAGGATGAGCGGAAAATACTTTGAAACAGTCTAAGAAAGCTGATGAGAAGCTCACCTGGCCTGCAGAGCCAACCAGAAGCTTGGGGCTGGGCGGACTGGTTAGGCACCTAGTAATTAGTCTTAATCAACCAGGATTTCAGCTCCCACCTCCTGCTTTCCAACACTGGCACGTGAGATGGTTAACACCCACTCAACAATGACAGGGAAAGGCCCAGGGCCAAAGTCTCCCCAGAAACTGCAGAATTTTTTTCCTTTTATACATGGAATTTTATTAATTTGAATTCTTGATCTAGGAAAACATCAATCTGCCTGAAAGAGACACTTTGGAACGTGTCCCTAACAACTATATCTTGATAAGAAGTCATTTTCAGGACTGGAGCTGACCCCAAGAAATCAGAGATGGCAAACTGTCACTCTGATGCTGCCACCAACTTCCCATCTTCTCCCCAGTAAGACATGATGAGGATGGCCTGCCTGCCAGGGAAAGGGGGGAATTAGGAAAGGACGCTTGTCCACACCAGGTGCTGTATAACGTGGTCACACAGGGCCTGGTCCTGGGGCCGTGAGGCTTGAGAAGCCAGGTGGAAGTCACTCCTCTTCCAGAAGTGAAAGGATGAAACAAAGGCAAAATCCCCTGAGGCAAAGGTGGTGACAGCCTCGGCCAACCTCAGCACCGTCATCCAGCAGAGATGAAGGAAGCTTCCTCTAGGAGCTGGCAGGGAGCCACAGTGCTTCACTGACCTTCTCTGACACCTACTCCTATTGCCCTTGTGAAAGAAGCATGTGATGATGGCCTTTAAAAGAAGGAAATCAGGGAGGGGCTAAGAGAAAAGCCCCAGGTCACATAGCAAAAGCAGAATGGAGGAGCAGAGCCAACTTGTTCAGTCTCAGAGCCTAGAAACTCATTTCAGCAATTAGTTCAAACAGCCTTTTAATTTCTCTTCTCTTGAATCCTCATCGCTAGGCATTCCCCCTTTCTATACCAGGCAAGTATATTAAATGAAGGAAATGTCATTTTGTAAAGGTCAGGAGGAAAAGCCAGCACTATTCTGAGTTGTCCAAATCTAAGACATCATTGCTGTTATTACTATCATTACTCCCGGACCCTAGAGATGCCAAAGGATGTTAAGTTAAGAGCAGCCACCAAAGCCTCTTAGAAATAACAAGGGTAACTAAGAAATCCATTCAGCTCTTAGCAGCAGCCTGGATCTCCAAGGCAGTAAACAGAGGATAATCAAGTTTAGAACCAGTGGCAGGAGCTGATGGACCTGAGGATACTGGGAAGAAAGCAGCACCGGTTCCTGTCAGCATCTCCCTTGTGGTGACCACCTGCTAAGAGCAGAACTGTGTCTCTGACTAAAGGGATGTGCGGGGCAAAGGGGAGACCAGCTACTGCTGCCCAAGTCCTTTATCCACAACTTCAGGGCCTGCTTCTGACCATGACCACACAGCAAGGGAACCTAAGTGGAGAGAAGGCCACTCAAATGGCTACTACTAAGATCCTCATCCCATCTCCACCCTTGCCCCTAAGACAGTGCAGCAGGCAGGGGGCATCAGAGACCAGGTTGGAGAAACTGAGAGATTGTGTAACTCCCATGCTTTCATGTGTGCTCATGGCAGCATCTCTAGAATAATCCTGCCTTTGCTTCTTTTAGGTACAATTATTTCCTTAGCCAAGACTCAGCTTTCCCTTGTCTTTTCCTTGGGTGGATTAGTAAGAACTGGATTCAGTCTCTCACTCAAAGGCAGGTAGCTGTCTCATAAACTGTACCATATCTGTTACACCGCAAGAAAGAAAGATGGCTGCAACCTAACAAAATGGTACAAACTACAAGTGAGCAAAGGAAAAATCCATGTTACATGCCAGTACACGGTCAAGAGCCAGCGTGGTTTGGATTACACTGTGGGCTACAACCTCCCTCACAGCCATTTAGTGGAACCAAGGGTTTAGGGACTGGGATTTTGGAGGGGCCAGGAAAAAGACACAAAACAGACCATTTGGCCCCTTCTCCTCATCAAGAATTAGTCATCACTGGGCCGGGGATGTAGCTCAGTGGTTTCGCCGCCTGCTGCGCAAGCGCAAGGACCCGAGTTCGATCCCCGGTACCAAAAAAAAAACAAAGAAAGAATTAGTCATCACTGGGTTGGCTAGAACCACAGACAGGATTCATTGTTCCTCTCCTAGCCAAAGAGTAGGCAAATGGGGGCAAAAATACTCTTACGTACTGACTGTTGGACCAAGAGAAAGATGAGGTACAATACCAAAGTTCTGGGCAACACTGGTAGCATCCAGGACTGGGGTGGGGGCAAGTGGGTCATAAAACAAGAGGAGCGTAAAAACCAAAGCTGCCTCTTTTGTCCTCCCACAGCAGGATTTCTATCACAGTAACAGAGAACAAGCAGTGACCAAATTGTCACTCGTGCCAGTGGCACCACTCCCCCATCCTGGCATCCCAGCAGCCAACACAAGGAACCTGAACTTTGATCTCCCACATCACCAGAGTATATTCCAGGGCAGCAGCATCGAGAGTCTTTCAGGAAGAGGGCCACGACCTGAGGACTGTACTCCCGGTCACACTATTATTGTCACATAAACACCACAGTTCACATACAGTATGTGAGGCCTCAGACTAGTGGAAGATGAAGAAATACAGGAGAAAGCATTAGACAAAGTTCACCATTCAAGTTCAGGAAACAAATAGCAGGCAGGTCAGGGCTGGTCTTTGTTCTCCTTCCTACCCAGCTTATGGCGCAGAGCCCACTGAGAGAGCCGGCTGTGCACCGGCACACAGGTGGCCGTGCTCAGCGTCCAGAGCTCAGGACGCAACAGATGCTGCATGTCAGTAGCTCGCTGAGCACCTCAGAAACAGTGTCACCCTACCGTGCTGCCCATTTAGAGAAGGTACGACTAATGGCACCATTTCACCTCAAGGGCACCATGACACGGATGGCCGGCTGAGAAGGAAGCCCCACAATTCCAACTCCCACTGCTCAGGACACCCCTGAGTTATGCTATGTGGAGACATAAACTAATTGAACATGACCAAAAGCCCACTGACTCCAAGGACTGGCAGGAAGATCAAGGGAGGGGAAAACACATAAAGACCTATCAACGAAAGAGACAAACATTGAACAGGCACCAGTAAGTGAGTCTCCCAAGAAGCTGTTCCTGGGAGGAACATATGCTTGTATCAGAACCTAGCATGAGTGTCCTGACCCCAGTGGGTGGATGGGGGCCTTTGGTAAGTGCTGGTTTCTACCCTTCAGCGAGTGCTTCCAAATGAGGTGGGGGGACACAAAGACTCCACTACCCTCTGCATTGCAACCTGACTGTATTTTTCCTAACTCTGCCCCTCCTCCCAGTTCTCACTTAGCCAGTTCCCCTTACCACCTACGGGCTCAAATAAATAGGCAGGGCATCTGAAGTACAGGTAGCTAGTGCCAGGTCCATCAACAAGGGAGCCCCCAAACTAGGCCACCTTGCCCTCAGTCCTCCAGCTAGCACAAAGCAGCTTAGGACACACACACAACAGTTCATATCTCACACCAACAAGATTCTGATTCACAGGTGTTAGGGGAGGGTGGAAGAGGAGCAGAATCAACATCACAGAACATCCAATACTGGAGTGTGGGGAGGGTGAACTTGGCTAACAAAGGGACTCCAGGACAGCTCTGGGCACCCCCAACTGGCTGAGGAGAAGGGGCAGCAGACAGGTTTGGCTGAGTGACTCTGCAGTGTCACCCTTACGGGGAGGAAGACTCTGGAGGATGGAGGACATACATGCACTCCTCCCTGCCCTACATAGCCAGAGCACATGGCCACAGCTCCTCCAGTGGACATGAGGAGAAAGGCCCTGCAGGGCAGGAGACCCCCTGAAGTGGCCCTGCTTCCATCCCTTTCATCTTCAAAGTGCATTATCAGTGCAAGAAGTAGGGCTGGATCTCAGGGGCCCAACTCTGGGAAAGGGCTGTGCCAGCCAGCTCCCTCCAGCTCCTGCTCCCCCTTTCTTCCCGACCCTTTCCATGCTAAGACCAGAACTCCTGCTGGATCTCATAGGGGGTAGGCCTGTGTGTGTTCAGCTCAGCTCTGCATAGTGGCACGGTGCTGTCCTGACTCTGCCCCTCTGCATCCAGGTCCAGAAGCGTCCGCTCTGCGGGGGGCAGCGGGCCCGCCTGGAACGAGAGCAGGGCTGGGAGTCCAGGCCGCTCCTCCACAGTGCTGCTGCTGCTAGCAAAGCAGGAGTCCAGGTTGCTGGGTGTCTCCGTGCTAGAGCTGTTGGCTGGAGAGGCGCTTCGAGCACGGCTGGGGGACACAAACCACCAAGGATCGAGCCGCTGCCGGTTGGCAGAAGGACGTGGCCGAGGCAGAAACTCCAGAGTCTTTGGTCTCTCCAAGGCAGAGTCCTGCTGGGTGTGCCAGCGCCGTGGTGTTGGGGGAAAGACCATGTTGGGGTCAGGGAGACGGGGAAATTCACCGGGGTCTCGGCTGGGACTGGGGGTTTTCAACATTCCTGGTCAAGGAGACAAAGGGAGACAACAGATGATGATGGCACAATACTTCTGGGTCAGATACACACCGCTCCCTCCCCACCTTGTCACGTCTCCAGGCACTTCGGATAACATGAGCTAATAAACACTTGTGGAGCACGTACTGTGTGTCACGCAGTGCACCGGGAGTTACTGGGGACGTACAGTGAGCTAGAGGGCCAGGGTCCTTAGATTCCATAATAGCAATGAAGTATATGATCCCATCCGGAATGAAATAACTTAGGCAAATGTTGGCCAAAGACCCACAGGCTGTTCACTTGTGTTTATAAATAAAGTTTTAACGGAACACAATGACAGATATACCCAAAGTCTGCTTTCCAACTACAGCAGCATAGCTGAGTGTTACAAATGAGACTGTATGACTCACAGAGCCTAAAATATTTACTCTCTGGTGCTCTCTCAAAACAGTCTGCTGCCTCCCTGACTTAAGGGAATGTCCATTGTTCAGTGTGCATCCATTCAATAGACATGTGACCAGGACAGGGTTGGGTATTCTAAGTTTAAAGGTGAGTAACATTGTCTCTTTTCCCAAAGAGGTTACATACCTGCGTATAAAAACAAAAATGACAAGAGGAAGGTCAAGGAAAGACAACTGTCACTCACACATCTCATTAAGAGGGGACTGCCATCCCTACTTCTCCCACTGGATAGGTGGTTTCCAAGTCTGGCAGAAAGACCTAGGCCAAGAGTGTGTGCACCAGGAGCCACAGGGATCAGATGCAGAAGGCAAGCCTGTGCACGTGGACAGCAATTTACCTGGGCACCTCCCCATGCCCATGAGTCAGGGATGCATGCTGAAGAGCGTGATGAATGGGTGGAAACTCACCGTATGAATGTGCCTGAGTATCACTGTTACAGAAGGCAAGAGCCCAGCTCTATGGCAGAAAATACCCCTCCCAGGTGCACCACAGGATTCCCTCCAAGTACTGCAGCATCCTCAGGAAATGACCAGAAACTAGACTTCTACCCCTCCTGTGCCTGAGGTACCACCCTGCCCCAGACCCAGGGCCTGAACATCTCCCTGGAGTCCCAGGGCCAACTCTTCCAGAACCTGACTTCTTTCAGTGCCAGGGAAGACCCCTGAGGCATAGGACAGAGGGAAGTCAGCCAGCACTGGCTGCCTCCCCAACCCCTAGTCACTATTTCCTGCTCAAATGAGTAAGAGGGAGAATGGAGCTCCCCCAAATCCCGTAGCAGGTAGAGGAAACAAGGCACCTGCCAACTTCTTCCCTCCCCGGGAGGCACAAAGGAAGGCGAGAGAGAAGGGGAAGAGGCCGAGACTCACCTGATCCACGACTGGGACTCAGCCCATTGCTGGAGGGGCTCCTGCTGGCCAGAAGAGCCGCTGGCGTAAGGGCCCCATCTGAAGGGGTCCGCCGATGACCACTCAGCTGTGCAGGGGCAGTGAGGGTGACATGGGTGGGAGTGAGGGACTGGTTAGGGTCTCGCTTGAAGCGTTCCACCCGGACATTGACCAGGGGGTTGTGCGTGCATGGAGTCCGAGGCGGGGCCTGGACTGGGCTGACTGGCATCTCATATACCACAATTTCATCGCTGTCAGAGCGCAGCAGAGAGCGGGTGGAGTTGCACTCAGAGATGGAGGAAAGAGAGAGCAGTGTCAGAGAGGCAGAGGGGTCTCCTAGCAAGAGCACTGGCTCTTCCCTCTTAAAGAGCTTGCGGGAGGGGGGGCTGGTGCTCCGACGAGGACGGCTGGCCCTCTGAAAGAGACCCTCGCGCTTCTTCTTCTCCTCTCGGACTGGTGCCTCAGGCTCCTCTGCGGGAAGCAACTGGCACCTGCCAGCTTCCAGCAAGTCAAACCCAAGGCCTGTGGCTGCCAGAACAGCCCCACAGCCGAGCAGAGCCATCTCACAGCGCCGGTGGTGGGTACCGCTGCGCTTGAGGCTGTTGGTTGGTGTCAGCTGAGGGGTACTGGTGGCTGAGTTGACTGGGGTGGGCTCCTCATGGACTCCATCACTCGGGGGGCCATCCCCATCCTCTCCACGAGGAAATGGGGTACAGAGGTAGGACTGGCTGGGTGAAGGCTGCAGACGATTCTCTCCACCCCTTGGGCCTTCGCTGTCCTCATCCTCTGTGAAGACAAGAGTGTAGGAGAAATGGGAAACAGAAACCAAGCCTCAAGAACAAGAACCTGGCCCTTGTCAAAAACCCACGGCCCTTGACTCAGCGTCAGGGATGAGATGGTAAGGACATGGAACTGAAGCCTGAACCCTGAACCCGTATGGCTCCATCTCCAACACTCAACAGAGGGGAGATCAGTCTGATTTCCAGAGGCCATTTCCCTATTTGCAGAGAAGGGAACCTACTAATTCACTACTTTTTTCACAGGCAGCCCCCTCCATTTTTTTTTTTTAAGTGCTGGGGATTGAACTCTGGGCCTCATACATGCTAGGCAAGCTTCTACCACTGAGCTCTACCTCCAGTCCCATAGGGAGCCCAATAATAAAGTACAGAATGAGTTTCTAGAACAGTGGATAGAACAGAAACATCCTGATGTTTTTGTACCTTAAGATTAGAAAGGCCTTAGGATTTCTAGAATGATAGCCTAGTCATGTATCTTTTTTTTTTTTTTTCCTAGCCATGTATCTTAAGACCAGTCTCCACAAAGGATGAGAATCCCCTATACAGGTGAAGGCCAATCTGTTCCATGGACTGACCTCTTACAACCTTGGAAATCTAGAGATAGGAATACTCCCTGAGAGTAAGCCTGGAGAAGAACTTACCCACCATACAGTACCCAGAGGGCAACACTGGAAAGCTCCTGGGGACAAGGGCTGGAGTGTCTCTGATCACCATTCCCCACTGTGTGGACTCCCCCATCAATATATGAGGAAACTGACTCAGAAAAAGGAATTCTAATTCAAGGCCCCACCCTTCTATACTGCCCTGAGGTGACTAATACTGGCTGTCCCTTTGGATAGGAAGCAGTGGGAAGAAACTGTGATTTAGCAAGACAAGGACATGGAAGTAGAGCAGACTAGAAGGATGAAGTAACAAACCCCATGAAGTGTTTCTGGGGGTCCTTAAACATTGCTAGAAGCTTGGTCAAGAACTCCTTGGGCCGGGGATTTAGCTCAGTGGTTCCACTGCCTGCCTTGAAAGCGTAAGGTCCCGAATTCAATCCCTGGTACCAAAAAACAAAAGAACTCCTTGAGGGGACAGGGAGAGAACCAAGAGCAATGCTTACCCATCTCCATAAGGCTGGTGAACCCTGGTAGGGCTGGGCTACTCCTTGGGCCCTTCCCCAGGTTGGGGGCACTGGATGACCACTGTCTGTATCCATCTACCAGGGACTTGAGCCTGAAGAATGGGAAATGAGAAGACTATCAGAACTAGCTTCTTCTTTTACACTATCTTCAAAGTGCCTAAGGAAATGTCTCTCTCCTTGTCTACTTGATCACATCAGACAGCCTTGGAGTACAGGCAATAACTCTTACTGAGCCCACCTCCTATAGAAACAGAAGTGCACACGCACCAGAGAAAGCAAAGCAGGGGTGTGACCTCGCCCCTCACATGCTGCGGACCTGTGAGCAGGGTGGCAAGCAGGCAGAAAGAAGAAGGCCTGCCCAGCTCGTGGCGGCCCTGCCTGAGGTCTTCTTAGGTAAGTGATGCACAGACACTGAACACAACACACTCATGACATTAGAAATACTGCAGTGCAAAGACTCATAACACAAGGCAAGCAAGGGCAGATGAACAAGTAGAAATGGCCTCACACTACTTGCACCATTTCTCAACTTCTCCTTCCAAGCATCTAGCACAGGCAACTTTCAAACCCATCCACTCTTCAAACAGAAAAATCAGCCAACAAAATTGCACCAACCCTGTGCACTTTGGGAGAGACCTATGTGGGTAGCACACTATGCTGCCTTTGAGCCCTTGGTTTATCTCGGGATGAAGAGAAAGAGGATAGCAGCTCACATTCAAGTCCCTGTAATCAGCTTATTTGGCAGCCAGTAACTCTCCAAGGATACAGACTGAGTACGCCACCAATCGCTCACATTACAGAGAGTCAGAGGCCACAAAGCACTGGTCTTTTCCCTACAGAACAGTAAAAGGTAACATTAAGGAATCTATGTGCTCTGGTGGAATCTCCGTACACTGGATCCAAGGAAACCCATCTAGCAGGTCAAAACCAGTACTCAAGACTGAAGGATAAATAGTAAGGTGTCTTCTCCCTAAAACTAAGAATGCTAGGAGCATCCCAAGAATTGGAGTGGTCAGGAAAGTGAGTTACACTAACACAGGCAATTTCCCAATGTGCACGATGGTACTGCTCTTAGACAAAAAAAAAAAGAAAAAAGAAAAGGAAACAAAAAAATGGAAGAGCAATGGAAGGATGATTGCTACCAATGCAGCTGGTGAAAGGGTGAAGATCTGACTCACCCCAAGTGGAAATGTGGAGATTCTGATGGGGTATTTAAACCATTAGCTTTCTCACGTCTCTGAGGGGATCTTCAATGAATAAAGAGAATCAGTAGGAAGCAATGGAGGGCACATCCAGCTCAGCCTCCCCCACACTGAAACTCCCCAGGCTGGACTCTGCAATGCCGCCAGCCACCCTCCCCTTGTCCAGGTAGCAGAGCCCACACCAGGAAAGAATCGTAACATGATGGCCTAGTTTGAATGGCTTCAGGACCATGTTCTCCCAATCCAGTAAAAGTCCCTGGGGGGCTACAGGGTAACTACACCAGGCCTGTAAATCCACAGGTACCCAAGCTTTCTACTGGCAAGTGTGTGTTTCCTGCTGAAGATGCAAATTCATTTAATGTTACAACATTCAAGATAGTTATTTGCCATTACATATTTTCGTCAGTCAACAGGGACTAAAGTTAGAAATGTTAAAGCTCCTAAAAATTTCTGAAATCAAAGAGGTTTTTACTCAAGACTTCAATAATAACTAAGAATTGTGAAAACTTAAGCCATAAATTTTTTAACTGCTTCATAAGTTTGTGATGATAAATCCATGTAAGGAGGAAGAAAAGTACAAAGTTGATATTTCATAATGTGAGATAAAGTTAATTTACTACTAAGACAAGAACATCTTCAAATGAAACAGAACCATAGGAATTAATGAGATCTAGAGCCAACCTGGTGAACTCTATCTGGAATTACAATAATGTCAGAAATATCAGCAATTCAGGATGACTGAGTTTCTCTGACCCAACTCAGCCCTATTCTAGCCTGGGACTCAAAGGACAAAATGGAATGCTCTTGCTCCTGTAGAACTTGGTAGAGCAGTGCAATTTGCTGTCTCCCAAGGATTCAACTGCTGATGTTATATACAGCATAGACAGTTTGCCCTACATTTCTAACATTTTTTGGTATATTTTAATTTGTTTCTTTTTCAATTTTTATTTTTTATTCGTACATGTTTGCAGTACATAGGTTCACATTCCTTGGGAAGGTGGTACCTGCACATAACACATCTTAATTCTCTTTTTATCCCCTCCCCTCTACTTTCTCTTCCCTCCCTCCATCTCTTGGTCTCCTCCCTTTTACAAAAGATCTCTCTCCCTATTTCCTGTCATCTATCTTTTATGTTGCTCTTTATTTATATTTTGGGTTTCTCATGTAAGAGAAACCATGCGATATTTAAGCTTGTGTGTCTGATTTATGGAACCTGGCTTCAGAGAGTCAATCTTTTATGAACCAAACTGTTATTTTCTCCTTGAGTTTGGATCTGACATAGGGAAATAGGTTTTGGACATGACATCTTAGTATTTAAAAGATTAACAAGGTAGTTACAGCTTTAGGGCACCCATAAGCCAACAGTCAACCTTAGGAGCTCTTTGGAAAATCACTAAAAAAGGTGAAGGGGATCACTGGTTAAGCTCAAGATAGGAAAGTCAGAAAACACTGTTTTAGAGTCTCACATCAAGAATAAAACTATAAACCATGACATCTATGCTTCTAATATGAAACAGAACTGCACGAGAGGCAGGGAAGAATCACCCTTGCTAATGTTTACACATGCTTACTATGAGCAACCTAATCTATGCCCTTCACAAAGATGAACTCAGTTAATCCTTTCATGGACTCCATGAGATGGGTACTAATAGTATCCCCATTCTGCAGATGAGAACACATAAGCTCACACACTGGGCATGGGGGAGCTGGGACTCGTGCCCAAGCTCTTATAAAACATGAATGCATGACCTTTCAAGAATAGAGACTCAGGAAAATTTGCCTCCCAGGCCTTAAGCCCACAAGGGAGGAGAGGTACACTCAAGGTACCAAGACCTCCACGCTTCCCCCAGTAGGGGGCTCACATGCCTCCTTATGGCTATAAGGCCTGAAAAGTTCTAGTGGCCCTGGTGTTATACTCCACTTCACGAGGGCTGGTTACTCTGCCTGCCCTGCTTTGGGACAAGGCTCCAATTAACCTCTGCTTTTCTTCTCTTTCCCCTGAAAGGATGTCTTAAGGGGACGAGCCAGCTGTAAGTAGAATGCTTGAGCAAAACTTTCCACATTTCCTTAATTGCTTGGGCTACTTGCTACTCTGAGGAGAACACCTGCAGGGTCGGCAGACTACACTGGGGAGCTAAAGCCTGCCCATCATTTGTTTTTGTAAAGTTTGACTGGAACATAGACATGCTCACCCATTAATGTATTACCTGCAGATTGTAGCTACTTACAACTTGAATAATTGTGACAGAACCCGACAGATCACAAAGCCTAAAATATTTATCATCTTGGGGCGGGGATTTAGCTCAGTGGTTTCGCCACCTGCTGCGCAAGTGCAAGGACCTGAGTTCGATCCCCGGTACCAAAAAAAAAAAAA